TGGAACTAGAAATTACCATAAGTTTATAATCTGATACCAAACTATTTCAAAATTGTGCCCGAAATGCAGGTGAAAAAAATGTTAAAATGGTTTATGCATTTTGTGTCTTCTACTGTAGTTGTAAAATTTCTTTACATGAGAAATGCAAGAAAAAAATATACTTTGGCTTGCTCACCCTCATTGACGAGTTTGAGCATATGTGATTTATATATTGTCTATACATTCATAGATAGACATATTGTCAGGGTTGCTAATACCAACTCCATTATAAGTAATTTATGTGAGATAAAAAAAAATATGAAAAGATGAAATGAGTAAAGCAAATGAAATTTAGGAATTGATATATGTAAGTTAGTTAGCCTTATGCTTATATCTCTCTATTTTCTTTGTGGCAGTTGCTTTATCTGTTCTTGCATTCCTTTTTCATATGCATGGTTACATGACATTTCATACAAATTGTGGGTAGAATAATATTGTACATATGTAGTGTGTTATTACACATTACTGTATGGAGTTTACTTTTTTCAGAAATGATATTTCTTTGAATGGTCTTTACAGCACCTGAAAGAAAGAAAAGTGTTGAAAAAAAAAGAAATTGACGTATAAAATGCAGAGTACTTTGAATTGTTGATCAAAGAAGTGTGATTAGCCCATCAGTAGCTGGAGTATCCCAACAGAGTTTTGTATTACAGAGAAGAGCCTTCAAGAACCAGTCCAGTGGATGGTGATGCTATAACATCCTTCCTGGAGAGCCTCCTCCTAGTTACAACGAGGGAAGGACGCCACTCCCGTCCTCTTGTCCTACTACCTGATGCAGGAAAGCTAGACACCGAATCCCTCCAGTTTGTCATGTTTGAGAGACTTCTGCTGGAGTCCCCAGATGCCTGCTTGGTTGGCGATTCAAACAGAGGGAGGGAAGAGGCTGCGAGGTCTGAAGTTGTGGTATATCTTTGTGAGGTATACTATAGGTGCTGGGCAGTCCGTAGTAGTCCACACTTCCATCTAGCTCAACAGGTAGGTTTATCAGTATTTAAAGTTTTATTTAGGATAAATCATGAACCAAAGAAATATCAAGAAAAATATGTATTGGATTCATTATGCTGTACTTTGAATTATATCATGCTCAAACTACACTAACTGATTTAGTGTGATTTGTTTGATTTATTTGGGACTGAAATTATAAAATTTACATATCTTAAAAGGTACAAGCTGCAGTTATTACAAACCTGGCCACAGCCTTAGAACAGCCAGAATTGTATGGAGGACAGCAACCTGATCGCCAATTAATTGATGTCCTGCTGAGAGGCTTGGGTCGAGAGGCCGCTGTCGAGGACTTAACTCAGAAACTCCTCAATCACCTTGCTGATCAGGGAACTCCTGTGCCTCCATTGTTTGATGAGGTTATAGTTAATATCACCAAAAAACTAATGCATTGTTCACTCATGACAGTTGACTATCAACTTGTGGATGTTTTGGACTTTTATGCATCTTGTCCTCACATAGCAGAAATTCTCACCAAAACCCCAGACAGTAAGTATTTATGATGAAAATGTTTAATATAATTTCACAAAACTGATGGTTACTTTTTATTTGTTGCTGCAAAATATAATGCACTCTTATATTAGTTGAAACATGCTGTATGTTAACTTTTGTTGTAGTCATGATATGCTAGTGCAAATATTATTTAGAAATTGGACCAGACTTATGTAATGAAAATTTTTTGTCCCTATATTCATGTTATTTATATATTTTTTTCTATATAACTATGTTTTAAAATGGAGTATAGTATTTTTTGTAGTGATATTATTTTTATAATTAATTTTGTGTTATATAATTTTTTATCTTTCTTCTTACATCCAAGACATGTGCATTTCCTATTTAATTTTTTGTTCCCTCTTTTGCCAGAAGTAACACAGGACCGTTCTGGCCGAGGATACCAAAACACGCCCCTAGGTGCTCTCCTGTCTATATCATGCCTCCCCAAGCATCCTGCGGGACAGTTTGAGTTTTTTGAGAAGCCATCCTCACAACCGAACCACACCCATAAAGACACAGAGAACAGCATCTGGATAGCACAGAACACAATTAATGCCAGGCTTCATAAGATATTCTATTCCCTTTTGAAGGTAATTCTTGCGTGGTTTTCATTAGTGAATGTGTGATGATTGAGTTTAAAGTTGGGGTTCGATCTGTGAATTATGAAGTAGATTCTGCTCACTCCTTCAAAATGTGATTTATTATTGTACATGAAGGTGATATGACTACCTTATAGAAACTTTGAAATGAAGTAGTTAGGGAACTTATAAGCCTACTTAATATCTGTACCTCTTTCATCAACAGATTTAATTAAGAAAATTTTACACATAACCCTGCATTTCTTCCTTATCATTCAGGTATCACCGAAGGCAAAAGACGGACTCTTAACCTGGGTAGAGTCATGCTTGGAATCAAACAGCGGTCGTGCTGGATTGTGGCACGTACAAGGAGGAAACCCTCTAGCAGCTGCTGTGTATGTGTCTGATGGCTTTATGGTCAACCTGGGGGTGGTGATGCTACAATTAGCACAGCCATTCACTCAAGACCTCAATACTGCAAAGTTTTTAAAGGTGAGAGAACTGCCTTTATTTGTTATTTTTAAGATGCTCTTTGTTTTACCACCTTACAATTACCTTGTCTGTAGGTCAGAGGTATTTATTGTGTGATTTTGTAGTTCCAAAATATATTACCTTGAATATGTCTTTAAATATATATTTGACTCTCTGTCTATCTGTCCTTACCTTTCTTTCTATCCATCTACCACTTTTTTTTCTGTTTGACTTTATTGGTAGTAGAAAAAAATCTGCTGTAATACAAAATGATCAGAACAAATCAACCTGATGAGCATTTGATAATTATGCAGAGACAGTTTACATAGATGAATACTTTTTTATGTGTTTGACAATATAGATAAATTAATTTGGAAAAAAATATTTCAGATTGACCCAACATACTGTTCAGCTCCAAGAATGAATAATGAGAATGGCGTTGTAGGTGCGTATACTGGAGATTTAGGGCGACAGACCACCCTCATCCCGCAGCAAGAAGACAAGCCACCTTTACACCCTAAGCAATATTCCTTTATCAGTTCTTGCTTCTTCCTAACTCACCGAGCTCTTCACCTTGGGGTTCAGGTAAGAGAGAAGTATTTAGCAAGAGTTCATTCTTTAACGATATATCAAATGCATTTATTTTTTATACATGAGAAATATAATTTGATTGGAATTTATGCTGTGTACCTTCATTCTTTGTAATAATCTATTTCTTTGATTTGATCGTAGAAATAGTTGTTATTTTGATAAAGTATGCTTAGAATTATTTTTTGTACAGGTGGTGCAACAGAAGCTTCACAAGCTGTCTCAGGAATTAGGACGGATGCAGCATGAGTTGCAAGAAGCTTCTGCTCAAGGTTCCCCGGCAACAGAGATGATGCGCTCGCACATGGAAACACGCACCACAAACCTCCTTTCCTTTAAGGCAGCAATATTTGAACCTGTAATGGTAGAAAATTTATTACAGTTCTTAGCAGCCACTGCTGAATGGCTGGTACAAATAGCCCTCACCCCACAAGATCAACCTACTCTACCTACCAGCTTAAGAGAAGTAAAAGCTCCACTGCCAGAGGAAGTGGAAAACCACATCTATCTTGCTTGTATTCCAGAATTTTTGGTTGAGACGCTGACAGAGACAATCAGTGCTGTGAGACGATATAGTGCCCAAGTTTTTGAGAGCAGTACTGGTACTCAAGTGCTGCCACATCTAATGTCTTTCATAATTGTCTTCATGGGTTCCCCGCATCGCATGAACAACCCACATTTGCGTGCACATTTGGCAGAGTGTTTGGAGACACTTTTACCAGAGAGTACTAACACTGGAGGACTGTTGGCTGGTTATAGAGAACAGCTATTTACAGCCCACCCAGCAGCCTCACATCTTGTAACAGCTCTCATACATGTGTTTGTTAGTATTGAAATGACAGGACAGAGTGTCTCATTTGAAGATAAATTTAACTACAGAAGACCCATGTGAGTATTAGTGTATGTAGATTCCTTAACTGATGTATAGAACTGCTAAAAGTGGTGACATTGTCATGCAGTATTATCTGGCTAAGTAACTTGTATATATATACAGGTTAGATATAAGAACAAATGTTAGTGCCTCTTAAGAAGAGCAAAATGCTTTTTATAATAAGATTATCTTTTCTAGGTATGAGGTCATGAAGTATCTTAAGATTATGCAATATAAGAACTATGTTGAGTGTGCTGAAATTTTGTTTACTTATATCTGCGAAAATATGTATGCAAAAATTTGCAAGCAAGTATGTAAATGCGCTCAGAGTATCATTTGAAACAGCCCATCGCACACGAATGATATTCACTCAGAAAGGGGATCAGCTTCACCATCATATGATGCCATCCGCAGCCAGTGAAGAAGAGCAAACTGCTGATTATCTTTTCCATGAAGTGGGAATCCCCCAAACACAGAAAGAGCTTCACTCACCTGGCAGATGAAGCCCTTGCCAACATGGAAGCAGCTAAGCCGCCCTTATTCTTACGCTTTGTTAACTTGCTAATGAATGATGCTATCTTCTTACTGGATGAGGGGCTGTCTTATATGTCACAGCTAAGAGAGAGTCAGATGGAAAGGTAATACTGGTGCTTCTTTTGGGATTTACATTTTACTTGGAAGTAGATCATTTTCAATATTTTTCTGTAAACTGATACTTAAATGGAATGGTTCAGAGATGAGATTAATGGAAGATGTACTCTTGATAATGATTGTTACTACTATTCATAGTTATGTAACACTTATCATGAAAATGAGTAGTGCAGGAATTACATAAGAGAATATTATTAGGGAAATTATTTATCAATCTACTTACGAAATGATCACTTTGCCCATCAGAGACAAAGGCGACTGGGCATCCCTCCCCACAGAGCAACGAGCAGAGCGTGAACGCAACATGCAGCACATGATGCTGCTTGCTCGCTTCCACAACATGTTAGGTGGTCACACTATAAAAACTCTGATCAGGCTTACCAGAGAGGTAAAATATATATCAGTTGAAGAAGAATAGTGATAAGTAGATAAAATTTCTGCAGTTTATGCAGTATGATATAGGGATGTTTAGTATTGTGCAAGCTGAGTTTTTCTTTTAAAAAACAAAGCATTTTCTCTTGAAAGAAAAGAAACAGAACAGAAAAGCTTGAATATAAGTGTCTTCAATTATTTCTTATACATACTTTTTATATTGCAGATTCCGCAAATGTTTACCCATTCCACTTTAGTTGACCGTATGGCTGCTATGCTTAACTATTTTCTATCCACTCTTGTTGGGCCCAAGCAAAGAAATCTAAAGGTAAGCCTGAAGAACCATTTTTTTAGAACTGCTATCTTTAATTACATTATTCTTTTGATGAGGTGTAGATGTGTATTTCTATCAGACAGAAAAGCATTTGTGTGATCTTGTACTTCATATGATAATGATTTGGTTTCATACAATGGTATATAGTGTTAGTTGATATAAATTATATGATTAGTGTTTTTTTCCAAAAATGAAAAAGCTACTTATAATTCCATTACCCTCTTTACTTCGTTTTCCAGGTCCGTGACATGGAAAAGTATGAGTTTCGCCCGGGAGAGATAGTCACAGACATCTGTACTATTTATACACATCTGTTTTCCGATGCAGCATTCTGTTTAGCTGTATCTGCTGATGGGAGGTCATATTCACCAAAGTTATTCTCACAAGCACAAGATGTGTTATGTAAGTAATCTGGCTATTTTTATTTGTCTGCTATTGGGTAAATATTATACTTTGTCTCAGAAACTTACTTTTAAGAACTTTGTTCATATTTGCAACAGTTTTGAACATCCAAATTATATTTTCTTAAAGAATTATTGATTAACATTTATCATGCAGATGATAATGGTTACTTGTTTGTTATTCTGCTAACAGGTCGCATTGGTCGTAGGGGTCTAGCAGAAGAGCTACAGACTGTGGCAGAGAAGGTAGAAGAGGCTGGACAAGTACAAGCAGAAGAGGATGACATAGTGGCTGATGCTCCAGAAGAGTTCCTTGACCCCATCATGTCTCATCTCATGACTGACCCTGTCATCCTTCCATCATCAAAGGTGAGTGTGGATTGATGATCTGTACTAGGATATAATAAGATTGTAAGGGATCTAATCTGAGGCTCCGAGATATTTACTAGTCTTTGTTTATGTAAATTGAGATTATTTTGTTGTACTTTTGTAGAGTGTTTTAATCTTCCTGTTGTGTTTTTCTATTCCCATATATTTTCATGCTTGCTTAAGGAGTAGTTAAATGTAATGCACATCACATAAAAAGTACAAATAAATTAAATTTCATATTTAGGTTTCTGCTTAGGACAAGATTATGTCATGCACACCATATTAAAGGAGTAAAATATTTTTGTAAGTATACAAATGTTTAATTTAGTATTTAGTTCATCAGTCTTTCCCTTTCTTTTTTCATAGCTAACCTGTGATCGCCAGACCATTGCACGACATCTGCTTTCTGACCAAACCGATCCTTTTAATAGACAACCTTTGACCATGGAAGAAGTTCAGCCAAACACTGAACTAAAAAACAGAATTGTTACTTGGCTTGAAGAAATGCGATCCAAGAGGAGAAATATGCAGAAGGAAAAAGAACTCAAAGAATCTTGAAATACAAAAAGAGATTAGTGGACTTTGCAGATTGAACAGATTTGGGATACAAGGTAGATACAAGGGTACCTGATTATGCAAATTACATTACAAATTCAGACTAAGGCAAAGTTTTTCATAAATGTAATACAGATTCATGCATTGCAAGACCTGAGGATATATCAGTGTTCAGCAGGCCCCCCCCCCCAAAAAAAAATACAGTACAGTAAATTTTAACATATGATGCAAATGGGTACCTCTGACTGCAGTGTCAAATACAAGTCCCAGTGTAATGAAAATATAATTATTTTCTTGTTTACAATAAAAATCTGTACAGTAATAAGAGAAAGGAGAGCTAAATGTATATTAGGGAGAATTGCAGGATAAAACTATTAGGTAAACAATAAAAATACCATAGAAATGAGGAATTGATCATCTCATTAAATATCGGTGTCCATAGGTATGTGTAATGTTTCAGAAAGACCTTTTTCAGTTATTTGTATATACGTGTGTGCATATGCATTATATTTGTTTCTTCTGTATTTGAGTTTTTAAAAAGTTTGATGTATATTACTCATATGAAAGTATAGTGATATGACCTTGCATTTTGTACTTTTACGAATGAAGAATTCTGTTGGTTTTCATATTGGAAACTAACCAGCATATTTGATACTATATTGTAATCCCTGCTATCCACATTTTTTTGCAAAAATGCACAAGCTAACATCTTTATTTTTTGTATATGATATTGTATAAATCAGACAGGAGTCATACTGAAAGTTTGTTTTATTTAGTATTCATGTCAATAGATTCAGTATAATATAATTGCAAATTTGTGTTCTTTTTTCAGGTTTGTTTTGCTTAATGTTTTATTTTGACTGTAACAGTAATACAGGTGTTTGATTTGATTTGCATTACATTCATACTGATGCCTTTCCATGTAGGTGGAACGTTTGAAAATTACTGGATTATGTTTGAAAGTATGGTAATAGAGCATCCACTGTTCTATTCACAAGACTAACAGCCACATTCAAAGTTGCGTACTACACTTCCACACTAGATATAGGTCCATAGTGCAGATATTGTGGATTGCCTCCAGTAAATCAACAATTCAGGGACTGCCAATTTTAGAAAAAAAAAATGCATTTTTATTGACAGTTGGTTATTCATGGACAATTAGTCAATCATTAAAATTACAAAACTTGCAACAGTTCTTTTGTTTAAGGAATATATTAGTTTCCAAATGAATAGAGCTTACAAGATTTTTCAAATGATGACTTCAAGGTAAGCACACTGCACTCCCACAATACATGTACCAAGTTACAATCTCTAAATTCAATACTCATGTTCACACTGAATGATTCCCTGATATAGCTCAAAGGAATTTATTATAAAGTCTTCACTGGAAATCCTAGGGACCAAAGCTTTCAGCAAAATTATTCAATAACCCATTGGTGTTGAGTAAATTTCTCACTGTAGTTTTTGTTTTGGGAAATTTGTTTACACAGATGACTTCACAAGGACTCAGCCACCAGGAGTAACTTTGTAGGACTTACATAATTGCACTGATTTCCCATTCCTTGAATCTTCAGGAATTTTATTGTTATTATCATCATTGACATTATGATTGTTGTGGTATTTTGAACAATACTATTAGCACTAGAATATAAAAAAGAATCTTTCTGAAAATCAAGGCAAAGGGGAAACATGCGAGATAGGTAGGACTAGTAAGTGATGCCTTTGTGACTAAGCACTTCTATAGCCACCTAGTGTAAACAAAATTGATGGACTAAAATCATAGTAGACATGGCATGTTTGTATAGTTGTCTTCACAATTCAACTCCATGAATATTTAGTTTATTAGGATTGGCGAAATATGGGAAAAATGGCAAAATATGCTAAATGACAGACTTAATATGGACTATTGTACATGTTTTGATTATTAAAACTTATACTAGGTAAGCACTCGTAATATACATTTCTAGTAATATCATGACTTAGATATGGATAATCATGTGGGAGTGCTTTTGAGCTTCATGCGTGTAACCTAGAATGTGGCTGTTAAAATTCTTTTTGAGGAAGTTTTCCTGAAATTATTACATGTATTGACATCCTTGTCAGCTTTGTTTTTAGTAATGATTTTCAATGAAATATAATTACATGTATTTGACATCCTTGTCACGTCTACAATCTTTTTGAATGATATTAAATATTGTAGATATTGTTTGACTGGCTATAAACATTGTTTGTGAAATCATTGAAGATAAAAACATACTAAATCCATAAATCAAATTGGACATTGGCAAGAGCTTAGCTTGACACTATTTATAGGATGATATGTTATTGTGCACATTGATATGACACAAATATTAAGCATTAGTGAATGTGGATATACGAGGGAGGTAATCTATAGAAATGTTGTCAATCTATATTTTAATTATATGAATCTTCAGTTAGATGTTCACTTCACTTGCTATGGTCTTTATTTAGGGATATACTGATCGTAATTAAGGTTGAGCTGGTAAAGGGCCATATCATCTATTTTAATATGTCTCTCAGATGTGGCGTTATTACAAGCTGACATTGTTTCTTCTATGGCTCTAAGAAATCAAGAGTTATTTCGAACTTTATTGTAACGTAGTCATCATAGAGTGTGGGTCCAGGTTTTGTGCGTCATTTGAAGTGGTATAATGGATTGTGGTGGTTATGCTCAGAGTACGAGTGAGGAATCTTACTATTTATGTAATAGAATTCATACTAATATTACTTAGAGCCTGATTAATATGAGTTTGAGGTAGTTAATGAGTGTTATTGGTGCAAAAATTATGGATTAGTATATTGTGACAACTATAATAACCAACATGGTTCTGATTTGAGAACTGTGCTCAGTAGGCATTGTGACTTATGTAGAAATAACAATGGACACACATTATATTACTCGTGAATAGAATTTCAGTGTGCATATTTGGTTGGAATGATTTTTCTAAGATATCCTGCTAGAATGATGTTTTACTCCTCACACGTAGGAGCAGTTTCTCTGCATAAATGCAAATAATGTAAACTATTATGTAAAATCCAGAAATTATGTTCCTTTATCTGTTCTCGTGTGTCGTGTCTGAGTATGTACGTTATATGAGATTGAAAAGGAGTCAGCTGGTCTATAAAAATTTGAAGGTGCAGAATGAAAATCTACAGATAATACTGTATAAGTATTTAACAACAATATCAGGGGACTTGTTGTAAATGGGTATTCTAGCAGTGCACGAAGAACATTTACAAAAGCTAAATCAGTGAGCCAAGACATATATAACGATCAACAGCTAACAATGGGGTTATTGGAAATATTTGCTTTGAAAAGTTTGGTCTAGGATTTCCCCAGTGGAAGACTTTATAATGAATTCCTTGTGAGTTATCAGGATCATTTCATGGTGAAACATGAGGAGTTTGATTCTTTTTAGTAGATTGACACTAGAATCATATGCATCAGTGCTATAGTAGAGGTCCTTTCATGAGTTTAATTTTAAGAAGTCAATAGTGTGTAAGGATGACGTTTTCCGTGAGCAGTTTGTTGAAAGCACTTCTTTATGACTGTTTCTGGTTATTTGAGAATGTGAATATAAAAACTAATCTAGATGTCTTCTGATACATTAAAGATAGAATCGAAATGATAATTCTTCTATTTTCGAGGTGTTAACTGGAACACTTATACATTATACTTACTACATTTTTATCTTATATGATTTATCGCTATTCGCTATGTATGCACAAGTTTCAATTAACTTACTAAGTGCTCAATCTTCCATGTAAGTTTATGTATACTTATTATACTAACTTGCTTGATCCCATCTTATCAAACCTATATTCATGTTGCTATTGTATATTATTAAACAAATTGCATGTGGTCTTATATACTTATGTTCCTTCATATTGCTCGTTAGAGACATAATTCTTGTGTGAGCCATGCCAATAACCTACAACTATTCTAAGTGATTGCTGCACTATGTGGTTGTATATCATAGTACTCGTGAGATGGTGCAAGGACTAAGAGATACAACAGGTACATAATTAATTGGAAAACAAGAATAATCTGAGTAGCCTTATTTCTTATAGCCACACTTATAATTGAGCTTAAATTGGTGTATTTTTGCACGCAGAGTATGAGCTAGCTTATTGGAAATTGATGACCCTCCATTTGTTGTGGACCCCTAGTGGTTAGGGGCGGCACACATCTGTTGGATACCAATGGCGCTTCACTAAAAGCTTTTTAGCATAGATACATACAGACAGACTAGGCAGTTCAAAGAACAGTTTAGGTTATACTAATATTATGCGCACATATATTACCATACTTTCGAAACTATCAATTCTTATACAAATGTGCTCAAAGTTATCTGTGAGATCATGCTCATACTATGTGGCTGAGAATAAAAAGCAAAAATACTCAGAGTAATGAATGTAAGCTATGCTAAATGTAATAGACAGAGTTCAACAAATAAACTATAATCGATGTCAACCTGAATTTACATAATTATCGAGAGAGAAATTTCATAATTATCAAGTTACAAAAAAATTAAAAGAAGAATTGCGACCACACCAATATGTAATGAAAGACAATATAAATCTAAAGATCAAAAGATGCAAATAACCTGAAAAAAGAAATACATAAAAACTCGTCAATTATAGTCACACACTCTCATTATGTCTATATAATTCTTGACAACTACTAAAGAATGAAGAAAAAGGAATAATAAATCGAAAGAGGATTTGCTACAAGAAAAGTGGAAATAACAAAAATGGCGTTATTCACCTCAGGTTGAAGAACTCCCTTGTATGTGGAATAAAAATCATATGAAACACACAATAAATCACTATATACAACAAATAACAGATGTACTATTCACACTACACACTCAACGTCATCCAAACTATATATCCTCGCATACATAGAGAGTTATATGGAAACAGATAGAAGTCATTCGATACGCAGGATGTTTTAATGCGCAAATGATTCATACAGTCTCAGATAACAGAGTAACCTGTATATATCATTCTTCCCTGTAGAGTTCATACTTAGTGTCGTCCACTAAAATGATGACGGTTGGCAACAGGGACAGATCGAAACTATGCTAGCTTATGGTAGTCTCTCTGTGATAAGGACACGATCTTGTGATTTATAATAAGACATTATCATACTTAGAAGTTACATCAATAACCACTGCAAGGTCCAAATTGATACACAAGAGTTACTAATTAATAACAATTCACTCCTCATTCTAATAGTGTAAATTGAAGGAGTACATATAGAGTTCTAAATACACACTTGGAGCAATATCTTTGTTATACATAACTTTCTCATAACATAACGAAGAAAGTTCATTAAACACTTATCTATAAATAAAATCGTATCATTAGGGTCGACTCAACACATCATTGGGTGATTAGCTAACAAGTAAATATGAAACCTTCGAGTGAACCCACAGGTCCATGCTTTTTGTTGCTTAATCAAGACAACCATTTAAGTTCATTTAAGCATAGTGCCCGAGACCAACCACAATGTGAGAGTGATTTATTTTTCTCATTAACTGTAGTATATCTCTGCTACCTCACTAAAGCAGGTTCCTCTTTGTGCTAACAATCCATGTTCATTAAAGCAGGCCAGACAAATTCACTTTTTTCCTACATTTACCTGCTACATTCACAACCAGTCTCTTCTAAAATATCTCACCTGAGAAATATCTCTTAACGAAATATGTTTGATATTCTATGCCAAATTCACTTGCTTCACATTGTCAATATAAGAAAAATATGAAAATGACTACTTGTCTTCTCTTCATATATGGAATGTTTCTACCTTTTCTTATAATGAATTGTAGATATGTTTTTAATTGTAAACTCATTGGAACTTTTATAATCAAGATTGGAACTTACACCATGAATTGCATTTTAAAACAGACTTTACTTTGGTACAGTAGGTTTAACAACTACAATAATATAACATTTCACCTTACTTGCAAAGTTCATCTTTTCACTAATATGAAGCCATTAAGCTCTTTAAACCATTACCTTCACAAATTATGTAATTTCTAACAAAAGATAAAAATAAAAGAAAATATTAATACCATAACTTCCTATATTACACAAAACATATCAAAACGTAAAGATAATTTATATACGTCAAAACACACAAATCTCATAGCTACACATTACTTTTAACAATGGGACCTTTAATGCCATAAATGAAAGAAACTTCTACCGAATGGTACTGAGGACTCTTAATACTTTTCAGAGGAGGCTCTTTTATCAATAAAATAAACTACACAAATCATTTACACCATTTCCCTATTGGAAAAAAAGTACACGCTTAAAAAGGTAGGCAGAACCAATTATTGCACAGTCCTTGTCTAGTTTGGAAGAGTCGCTTACGGAGCAATGATATTATATGCACAATATGCAGTACTCATAACATTTGTGACCAGGATTGCAATTGACACTATACTAATTCTTGAGATATATAATTGCTATATTTAGAACACTTAACTAACGTGCTGTTTAATTTATGATTTATACTGCTCCAATTATTTTCTATAGCAGTAGCCATACAACTGTATATGGAGAGTAGCTAAACATACCAACTTAGTAATCTACTTTATTAATTGTTTAGATATCACTAAATAAATAAATATGTCCGTGATAAAGTGGCCCATATCCATAATCATTATCTTGTCTGGGACCTTCACAAATTCAGTCAGCACCACAAAGACGATTACTCATAATACTAAATCTGAATGTCATCATATATGAGTGTCAATCAGTTTTACATCAAGAAATGAATTAGCAAACTTTGTTTGAGGAGCTCTTCTTTCATTGGCCTCTCTTATACTTTGCAATTACCATCTAGATAATTCTCTTCGTCTTATTTGGAGTAGTAAAGCGAGTTTGCACCAAAATGTGTAATACGCTATAAGTTAAATAATACTCTTATTTAAGCCGATACGTGTCATATACTTAGTTTGTCCTATTCATCCTGGTTTAAGATCATGTAGGGGCTCTTTTGCCCCACTAGATATTGACAAATCGTATGTTTAGACATATAAAGTCTACGTGTGATTCAACAGTTTGTTGGGCATAACAACATAAGAAGAACTATGTATAATTCAAGACAGCCTAATAGATTCTGAGAAACTGGCTACTTTTCAAATCATATGGTATCAGGAAATTTTGCGAGATAACAGCTATGAGCACTGTACAGAGTAACGGAATTGTACTCGAAATGAAATGATTCGATACTTAAAATAGGCAGTAAATCATCATCTTATTGCGATCAGCTATGCAAGATAACATGAGAAAATTGTTGGACGAGAATATTTCCTGATATGAATCATAAATAACTTACATCTCATATTGAATAATCATTTGTCCCTATATACGTGGGACTCCGTTATCATCTATTAATAGAGATACACAACTTCTCTGAAGAATATATAAACTAACTCTAACAATGTCATTTATAACTGTTTATCTCCTATTACCCAGATTATAGGATGATCATGATCATTCCATAGAACTTCTCGTTCGTTAACCCTCCACAAGACCAGTATAAATATCATGCACAAAAAAAGACACAATAATTAATGAATTTATCAAATATCTGTAACATATTCCTATACTGCTGTTTCTTATAAGGTGATCTCAGACTTTGAGAACACAATAAATAACAGAGCCTTACTGAAATCATACTGTTCTACCTTATAAGCTACAGCATAGAGAATGGCACCAATGATCATACTTACTGCCAGAATGCTACTAAGCACATCCTGGACAGCGATGAGAAGCTACATGTAGAAGGATAAACAAAACACACAAAACACACAGACTTAATCTGCTGAGTTTATTCCTTCCCAACAACTTCCTATGTGGCACGCTCTCTTGTAAGAAGATTGGTGTGTGATTAAAGGTAATAAGCAACTAGGATGACTCACTCAATGTTGACTAAATCAAATCAGTTCACAACATGCTTTTCTACTTAACAGTTACATCTACACCCTGTATGACTATCTGAAAGACTCATAATCGCTGATGATGCCTTACACGTGTTCATCGATACCATCCCTTCCAAATATAAGACATCCATCTCTGTTTCTTTAACATACTCAGATATTGAAATAATAACTAACCACCTCGTATCATGATGATCATGCACAAGTTATTTATACATCAAAGCGTTTGTCAGTACTACTTAAGCCATGATATGGTTAGTAGTAGGGGAAAGTACTATTGCAGACCTAGGTCATAGTATTACAGTAGGAAGAGATTGCGAGATATCTATCTGATCTCACATTAGTAAATAAGAAACAATAAGATTGTAGGGCGTTCACAAGCCAAACAACAAAATCTTATCATGAATAATTACCTATTGCATAATCACCTGAGACGACACAACAACTATCGATTGTCTGTAATAACACAATATCTCACTTCGCGTTCATCTCAGCTTGTCTCCATATTCGTCAAGTATTCATAAGGCTTCCTACTGCATACCTCTTGGCATCATTAATGATAACGTGTTAATGGATGCAGTAGTTATATCTGCTAGACATTCCACAAATTCACAAAACACAGATTATATACAAATCCAGCTGGTTACCTACAGCATTTAACTAACATACATTAAGTATTATCTTGAGACCATAACATTCACTAACAGCTCAAGACTCCCAATATTACAGATTGACTACTTGGTCACAATGGATACCAGAAATAAAGAAATCACATCGCTTCTTTCACAATAAATCTGGTCAATGAGTAGAAATGCTTTATCTTATGATAGTAAAGTACAGAGTATATAAGATAAGAGTAGATATATGAGGAAAATGTTGTTATATGATTATGCAAGAGAACTTAAGTTTTTCAAACTGCATCTTGTCTAACATAGCATACTCTCCAATAAAAAACACTTCATATAATAAGATCATAAATACAAAAGATGACAAAAAACCTGCCTTTTGTCCAATATTACTTACATCAGTGAATCAAACCATACATAATTCAGTCAATTTCCTTTAGTCTGGTGTAAAACCAAGTCCAGATTCTAATCAACCTTACTAAATTAATATTAGCAACAGGAATTTATTCTCCTCATAATACTCCCCCTTTTTCTGAAACTGACTTGTCACTCAAAAAACAACAACAATAATAATAATAATAATATTAATACCTCTTCTTGTGCATCATCTTCATCTTCCTCCTCTTCCCCATCTAAAGATTTCTTATCCTCTTCATCATCCTTTTCATCATCATCATCGTCTTCATCTTCTGAAATCTCAGATGAACTGTCTCCAGTTCCATACGCACCATCAACCTGAAAAGATTTCATTTATATAATGAAATTTTATTTGACATTCTAAAACCAAAACCCGTAGTCATAGAATTATTATGCAGTAATAAATAATTTGCAACTATTCATCTGGCCAAAAACATTTAAAAAACTGACTAAGTTGGTCTTAAAGTATCAAATTACTAAATAAGGCTAAGAAGATATACTATTCTTAAAAGGTGAGAAAATAAAAATAATTAAATAGCTATTCAGAACTTGCAGCATGAACTCACCTGTGAAGCTTTCAATCTCGCAAACAAAAGTCTGTCCATTGTGCCTCTGTCAACAGAGAGGGATGGTTGACTTTCTTTGTTCCAAGACATCTGAGCTAAGGCTGGTTTGCTGGTCTTTCCTTTGGAAGTACTAGGGGTTGGGCCAAGTTCCTCTTCATCAAATGCTCCGTCCACCTAAGAACATACCGCTACTGATTATATTGTGTTATGACCATCATATAATCTGGAATCTAAAATCATGATTGAAGTCCATAGCAAATTACTGTACATACAGACCTGTGTAGTGGCAATATGGTTGTACTGCAGCAATTGTGGAGGTAAAGTAATTCCATGTTCCTCTAGTGCTTGATTGAGTTTCCTCTGAATGATTTCAGCTGCACGACTAGGCTGTAAACAAAAAAGTTACAATATAAATATCTTCATAAATTCATCATAAACATCATCACTAATAGTTACTAATAAAACACAGTGCAGCAAGTACAAAAGAAATATCAATATCAATCTATACTATCTGGATGATATGACCATCACAAAACAAAAAAATTTGGCTTGAGGGTGATGTGAACTTGCCATATTGGAAAAATTTGGCTGAGGGATGGGGTAACAGGAACTTGCAATTATGAGAATTTCAGCTGAAGGCTATGGTGATAGAAAAGACTCGTCTCAAGCGTACAAAGCCCTTGGAGGGTGATAAGACTCAGTGGGGATTTAGGAAGGGGCTCTTGCATTATTTACATTGATAAACAAGTAGGGAATGCACCATTCGTGAGCCATGACTGGGAGAGCGCCAGCTCCAGTGAGGACGCTACTTCCACACATTGAAATGATATGTAGTCTGTGCAAAGCAATTTAAATGGCAAATATAAATGTTGGAAAATAATAAGGCTAAAAAAGAAAAAAAGGAAAAGCTTAGGCAAAAAAGGAGAAACTAATATTGCAAAGGCATGAAGTCTTGTCCCTGCACAAAAATGTTCATGTGCACCTGGCCTACAAGCCACACACCCATCAGTGTGTGGCTTGTATTTTGCTGTACTTTGGTCCATGTGTGGGCAAGTGAAGCATACAGATTCAAAGGGTTAACATATCTTTTTTATTAAAATTTACCATTTACAGCTCCAGGTGCTTTATTTTTGCTGCTCTACATTGAAACCTTCTGCTATTACTCTTTCTCGAGTCAATTGAAATT